TGAAGCAGCTTTCTTCCAAATCAAAACAAGGGAACCGTGAATTTGTTAATTAAATAGGCATGATTTCTGCGTTACAAGGGAACCGTGAATTTGTACCAATGTTGTAGCAACCAAAAGACCAAGTATTTCAGCAGTGGTAAGCATGCTAGGAGGAAAAGCAAGTGTTGCAGAGTTTGTTTCAGACTCGAGTGTTTCGATTGATAAAGTTAACAGCTCGAGTATTTCAACGGATATGCCTTTGACTTCTTCCTCAAAACCAATTTCTGAGATGTAGCCAATCATTTTAGATACTGATAGTTGGGAGGATTGAGAGTCCTCACCCAGAAAATCTGTTTTCATTTACACTTTTTACATTCTTCCATTCATCAGAAATGTTAGGATTGTGACACCAATCACCGGATTGAGATGTTGAAGTTATATGGCAAAATATGAAGTATTAGATCAAGAACAAAAGAATAAAAGAAGACAAGAATATGGCAGAGGAATTAGGAGATTTTATTGACTCAAGAATAATGGAGAATAGAGAGAAAATCACAATGGATCCTATATTCTGGTAATCTATTTTTTCACACATATTAAATTGTATAGAAGAACCAAATATTTATAGGAAATAGTAAGGCGACGTCCAAACCCTAATAGATGAGTTGTAGTTGAAGTAGAATGCCAAAAAAACGAATTAAAACGCTAAACGGGCTTGGGCAGGGTAACACTGTCGCTCGAGCGATAGGGCAGCGCCAGGCGGGCGACAAGTTTCGGGAAAAAACCTGCATGTGTTGCTCAAGAGGCCAGCTAGCAGTAGGCTAGCGAAAATGCGGTGACTTTTCTTCCCGATCCATAATTTCAACCTATTCAACTCTAATACAAATTCTAACTCCTAATGGGCTTCCAAAATAGAACTTCCACTTGACATAGGACTCCAATAGCATTCCAAACTGAATTTTTCTTGACGTGTACTTCAATTAGAATTCTTTAATTACTTCAAGAAGAAAATTTGGGTCACACCCAAATTTCAACAATCTCCACATTGACACGAATTCCACCAAAGAATGAACTGGCTTCTTCAACAATAACCAAAAAATTAATTTCTCCAACATAATACTCTACCTCTTCCAATAAATCCAAGCACTACTCTGCAAAATTATCTCAGATTCCCAAAAAATCATAATGATTTTAAAATTTACCAAAATTGGGTTGTAATACACCCCAAAGCAGAATCAAACTCAAATGCTTTTAAAGAAGGATATCGCTAGATTGTACACCTTCTACTCCACTTAAAGCATGCTCAACAAAATCAACATCCACATACCGTGTTCCACTGGGTCCTTCCTTTGCAATTGAATACGTTGGCACCACAGGTGATTGTGGTAAAGCGGTATTATCCATATCTCTTGCACTCCACTGAGTTGTATTCTTCAAATCTGAT